ACGTGTAATTTGTTTTTCTTATTCTTTCTTTCTTTATCCTTTGAATCTGATTGGCTTTTAACTTTGTGGTTGAGTGGAAGAATCTCGTTACTCCTTATGTAATAATCAAGGTACGTGCCTGAAACGAATAAATACATTTTTTTTTTTTTTTATGTTTTTCTCGTTTTTATTTATTTATTTGATCGTCCCGTTTTGTTTGTTTTCATTTTTTACATTATTATTATTATTATTATTATTATTATTATTTTTCTTTTGTTTAAACAATTTTTTCTCGATCTCATCGTTTTTGTCGTCGTCGTCGTCGTCAAACTTTACTCTTGTTTAAAAAAAAAAAAAAAAAATAACCTCTCGGGGTCAAATATAATAGAAAAAAAAATTTTTTTTTTTTCTTCTTCCACGATAAAAAATTTTTCGTTTTAAAAAACCGCGTAATTGATAATTAATTTTTTCCAAAAAATTGATCGATTACCTAGCCAAATTATTACATAATAATAATAATAATAATAATAATAATAATAATAATAATAATAATAAATCGATTCGTCATCGGTTTACTAATTAATAATTACTTTGTGGAGTCGTGGTGTAGGAGGAAGACAGACGCGAAATTAAAAATCAATTAGGAAACAAATTTGCTGGAGATAAACAAAAAACCGGGGGGGGGGGAGAAGAAGGAGAGAAGGGTGGCAAAAATGATAAACGATCACGCGGGAGAGAGAAAAAGAGACAGAAAAATAGAGAAAGAGAGACAAAAAGAGAGAGAGAGAGACAAACAGAAAATGAAAAAAAGAAGAGAGAAGAACGGAAAAAAAGATAGAGAGAGAGAAAGAGGGAGAGAGAAATAAAAAAAGAGAGAAAAGAGAAAAAGGGAGAAAAATAGAGAAAGAGAGAGTAAAAGAGACAGAGAGAATTAGAGAGAGAGAGAGAGAGAGAGAGAGAGAGAGAGAGAAAGAGATAATTTTGCTTATTATTTACGCAACGATATCGATCATTATTATAATTAATATCAAGATAAAAATAATAATAATAATAATAATGTGAAAATTTTTCTTCTCCAGTATTCAATTGATAATGATAACAATTGCTCCCGTAAGTGGTTGAAAATTATTAATAATAATAATAATAATAATAATAATTAGGTAATAAGAAGTTGAATTTTTTTACACGAAATTTTTTTTTTTTTTTTTTTTTACTTTCTATATACACGTAATAATTTAATTTTTTTTTATTCGAGTAGATGTTCCAGTCGAATGGAACTTTAATAACTTATTATTATTATTATTATTGATCCAGATAACCGTCAAATTTTTTTTTTTTGAAGGGGAAGGAGGGAGGGAAGAGGAGAGAAGGAGAAGGAGAGGGGAAGTCCAATCGCGAAAAATTTGTTTTTTTTTTTTTTTTTTTTTTTTTTTTTTTAATTCATTCGAAAA